TTCCACTCCAGGATGTCCTGCAGAAATCGGGGCAGAGCCCAGGTTCGTTTTTGCAGAAAGAAGAGGAGCTGATGTGCAGCGACTGCTCGCTCACAGCTCGCACCAGCGGGTTTGGAGGCAGCTGGAGCAGAGAGCAGCACCCGGCGCAGGAACAGCGGCACACTGAGCTGCAGCCTGGATCCTGGGGAGGGGACTTTGCCTCCCACCTTCGTGCTGCCACTGCCCTGTGCCAGCCCATCCCGCCGCTGCCCGTGCTCACCGTGATGACGCCTTTCTCCTGCATGCGCCCCGGGGTGTCGTGCAGGTCGGCGAAGCACACAGCCACCTGGTAGTACATGGGCAGGAGCAGCTCCTCCCGGGCCTTCAGCTGCTTCTCCAGCTCCCGGCGCTGCACCTCGGACAGCTCGGGGGTCCCTGTGGGACACGCCGTGCTCAGCAGCCCACCCGCCACCCTGGTGATGGGCTCTGGGCTCCATCAGCTACCGCTGCCAGGAAACAGGGCACCCAGCACCGCGTCCCTTTGGTTTGGCACATTGACTCCCTGCCCGGAGCCCCGTCACAGAACGCCACGGCCACAAAGGGGCTGCACTGCGTTCAGTGCCTCGGGAGAGGTGGGAGGTGGCATCTGCAAGGACTTTGTAGGACCATGCAGGGTGGAGGGACATGGGGGCAAGGACCTCCCAGGGCAGCCCCACCGTCCGCTGCAGGCAGGAGCTGACCACAGGGTGAAAGCAGCCCCTGTGCACCAAAGGCAGCCCCTGTGCACCAAAGGCAGCCCCTGTGCAGCTCTGTGATGACCGTGTGTGGTCTCCTTTGGCAGTGAGAATTGCCATCCTTCACCTCAAAGCATGGGAGAAAAGTCCAGCACCATCCACGGAGCCCCCAGCAGACAGAGGTGTGCTAAAGTACCACCACATCCCCCTGGGGGACTCCATCATCAGAAAAATCATCAGGAATTGTCAGAGATTAACATTAAAGCATTTCCTGATAGTTGCCATCATGGTGTCTGAGCCTTGTGTTTTAACTTGTCACCACCGCAAGTCGAAATGCCCTTCCTTTACCCAGCTGCTCCACGAGCCTGGCGTACACCGTATCGATCCTTCTCATGGTCTTCACCAAATCTTTCTTCCTGAACTTGATCTCCACTGTTCCTCCAGGCTCCAAAATGCCTCCCCTGGAAGGAAAGTTTGGTGAAGCAGGGACTGGTCTGTCTGCACGGGGAAATAAATCCTGGGACAAGATATCCGGGCAATTCTCTCTTCTAAGAATTAGGGAGAGAGAAACCCTAAAAGGGTTTTGTTTCCAGTCTGGGATTCTTGTCTATCCTTCCACTTTTTACAGCTTGCTCCAATGTGCACTAATTCAGGTTGGAGAAAATCCTCCTGACCCCCAGAACCAGGTTTTACTCAGCCACAGCCTTCGCTGCACACAGGACATACCGGCCACCCTGCTCTGTAAGAGCCCTGGCACCCTCAGCTGATGGCTTTGATTAACTCAAGGGAAAAAAATACCCACCTCAAGGGAAAAAAAAATACCCATCTCAAAGGGAAAAAAACCACCCATCTCAAGGGACTGGAGGTCACTCAGTGGGACTGTGACTCTGCAGACCCCACGCACTGGCTCTCGTTTCTCTGCACATGGGCTGCAGAGGATGCACGTGTATTTTGGATGCTGACCTGCTCTCCTTGTCTGCGTAGAGCTCCACATACAGGGGGTTGATGGTGGGGTCGATGACCACCCAGGAGCCTCCCCGCAGCTCCGCGTGCGGCGGGATGTAGACCAGGACAGGCTGCTTAAAGTCCCGGATGCTATCGACAATGTAGGCGCCAAACTTCAGCATTTGGTCATACATGTCTGAAAAACCAAAGGGACTTGGTAGCCAGGTGCCCTGACTATTGCCCCTCATCTCCTGCTAGCACCCCAAAGCCACCTTCTCCATTGGAGAGACCAACCAAGGCTCCCCAAAACCAACCCAGCAGGAAGCCACCAAGCCCTGGGACCTGGGTCCTGGCGATGCCCCATCACCTCCCCAGCCCAGCCCCACACCCCAGGACCCAGGGGTGGCAGGAGTGCTGGCAGTACGTCCCAGCACGGGGCTCTGGGCACCCCAAGCACGGGTACCTTTCATGCCGCTGGAGAAGCCTCGCCAGTTGGCAAAGATCATCAGCGGGAGATGCTCCCGGTTGAAGTCCCGAATCGCCTGGGCTGTTTTAAAAGCAGAGTCCGGGAACCAGACCTGCCCAGCCTGCTGGATTATCTGGAAAAGACGGTGAGCAGCAGCACTGAGACCGGCACCGTGCTTCCCAGCACGCTGCGCTGGTAGGTCAGCACAGGGTGTGAAAGAGCTGAAAGAAAACAAACTGCCCGAGCACCCTTGATTTCACTGGCCTTTAACGAAAATCAAGACATGCCAAAGGATTACACAAAGTTTTTTCCCTGCTCTCCTCCTCCTGGTTGCTGCTTGGCTCCACTAAGATCTCCCCACGCACCTTCGCCTCCGAGTCCGGGTTGGCGGGGTCTGCGGGTATCGTCACCTCCACAGGGCGGGTCTCGACAGCGATGACACCCACGGGGAGACCTCCCAGCCTGCAGCGAGGCAGGGTGGCCTCAGCAGAGGCAGGTCCCCTCCACACTGCACCCCAGCCCCAGAAAAAAAAGAGGTTTCCCCCATCGCCATCCCAAAAGCAGAGCCACGGCCAGGGCTTGAGTGTGCTTGGCCGTGCACGCAGGCTCCCCGCACCGCTCACCACCCGCCGGCTCCCTCCCCGGCAGTACCTCGCTCTGCCGACCACGACCGTCTGCGCCCACGGCCTCATGATCTCCAGGAAGCTGCCCTGGTCGAAGAAGCCGCTCTGCCAGGTCCCCTTGAGAGCTGCCGAGCACGGGGAGAAGGGGAGCAGCACAGCAATGAGCACTGGAGGGCTCCCTGTGCGCTGACACGCAGCAAAAAGCACCTTTTGCACCAGGATGGGAGGGGTTTGCAGCCACAAAACACATGGGGAGCATTGCTGCAGAGGTCTCGGGCTGCTTTCACTCACTCGGATGGGGTCTCCCTGCCAGCATCCACCTGGGGTCATAGGGGACTTTGGAAGGGACAAACCCGATTTCTCTTTCGATGGGGTCGCTTACGGCAGTGACAGGCACCGGGCTGTGGTTATCCTGCAAGGGAGAGCCCCCAGGAGCAGGTCAGCAGCCAGGTATCGCCTGACACCCCGCTGCACCGTCCCGCAGCACCCTCCTACCTTGGGTATGTACGAGAGCCACTGCAGGATGGTGTAGACCCCCTCAAAGTCATCCGGGACAGTGACGTGGGAAACGCCGTTATTGTGCATGATCTGCACGCCTCCCAGCTGGCTGTTGGAGGTGTAAACTTCCCGCCCCAGCACCTAGCCAGAATCGGTAACACAAACAGTTGGTCTCTGCTAACGCAGGAGCTGCCCCTCCTTCTTCTAATCAAACCTCTGCACAGGCACGTTCCCTCTGCTTTGAGGCTGAATTTCCACCTCTGCCTACTAGGCTGAAGTCAAAGCAAGGGGATCTTGCTTTAGACGAGCGTGTGGGTTTAGCTCGGCGGGTTTCAAATCAGCTCAAATCGGAGTGATTCTGCCCAGAGCTGGGCGCTGCCAGGAGGAGGGCACGCAGCACGGTACCTTATTGAGAGCTGTGACGCCGGTGAGGATGATGTGGGAGTTCTCCACCTGGATGACACGCTGGCCCAGCCGCACCAGGTACGCTCCGATCCCGATGGCACGGCAGGTCACCTGGGCATGCACACCAGGACACGCGGGGTTACTGGGAGAAACGGCTGCAGCAGGATCCATGAGCACTGGGAGAATGATGCTCCCTAGCTCTGCAGGAGTTTCACCGGGTCGCTTGCTGCATCCTGTCATTCCCCCCACCCCAGGTGACTTTCAAAGCAAGGAGGAGAGCAGGGAGGTGCGGAGCAGGGTAGGACCCACAGCTGTACCATGCTGATGGTCACTATTTCCTCGTAAGCGCGAGAGGACTCCCCGGCGATGGTACCAGCAGCTCGCAGGTTTTCCACCAATCTCCTCGTAAGCGCGAGAGGACTCCCCGGCAATGGTACCAGCAGCTCGCAGGTTTTCCACCCCAAATCCATTGTCCTTCCCGATGATGTCCAGGAGGACGTACCTGCCGGGAACGCAGAGCCGCGGTGGTGTGGGCAGGACGGGGGGAAGCACCCACGCGTGTGACGTGTCTGGCAGGATGCTGAGCCAGGACGTGGGAGCTGCGTCCTGGTGGGGCTCACCTGGACTCGCCCCCTTCCTCCACGTGCTCACAGTGCACCGAGTTCATGGCGCTGATCCTCGTGTAGTCCTGCGGAGTCAGGTACAGGTACTTGAACCCCTGGGAGTAAAGAGGAGGAGGATGAGTTGTGGAGCCCCCCATGCACATGCAGGACACAGCCCCTCTCCAAATCCATCCCAAACCCTCCCCGTGCATCAACAGCAGCTCAGGGACCAGGGCTGGACCCTGCAGCCGTGCCAGCACAGCCACCTTCATCTCAAGCCCACTGGGGACAGCAGAGGGAACGGTCCCTGTGGTGCTGGGTGCTGGTGTGGGCTCACCCCCCACCACTGATCCCAGTTTTATCTCCCAGTTTAGCTCTGGTCCTTCCTTCCCCAGGTAAGTCCCCTGTTGTTTTCTGTGATGGCAGGAGAGGAGGTGCCCACACACCTTGTAGGGGTCCGCAGGGTCCACCCAGGCCACCTGGAACATGTGCTTTATCTCGTCGGCAAAGCCGATGCGGGCGCCGCTGTTGGCGGCGATGTAGATGCGGGGGATGCCTTCAGCCCGCGCCAGCTCCGAGGCCCGCAGGAAGACCAGGTCCTCCTCCGGCCCGAAGGAGCCGATCTTGTGGGTGATGTCGTTGCAGATGAGCACAATGTCCCGGCCTTTCGGATACTCGGGGGTCATCAGCTTCATTTTGAAAGCAACCATCCCCACCTGCCCCAAAAGAGGACAAGGTCACAGGGCAGGCTCCTCCAGGGAGCTGCAGCCTGCATTAACCAACAGACAAAGTGCCTGAAAAGCTTTTCCTGGGATTTAAACACAGCTGGACCAGGGCAGCCCCCAGCCATCCCCGCCTGCCGCAGCACAGCTTCCTCCCACCCCTCTCTCTCACCCCATTCCCAAATCGTTCCCCATTACCTCGTTCCCTCCAGGGACCCTGTTCATCTGCACCAGGTGCCCCTGGGAGTCCAGCACCAGCTCGGTGTAGGTCAGGACGTCCTTGGGGTGCAGCTCGGAGGAGCCCCACAGCTTGAAGAGAGCCTGCAGAGACACCGTGCGTAGGACGAGCTGAAAGCAGGGGCTGCGGCAGCTCGGAGGCTATCGCAGAGTGCAGACACACCCCCTCAGCAGGATGGGACTTGGGGGGAGCAAAACTTTGCGTTAGAGCGCCCACCCTGCTGCAGACCACCTTGCATGGGGCTTTCTGGTTCACATCCTCCACGAGTGCAACTACAGCACTTTGCAAGAGCTAGGAATCGGTTCAGAAATGCCTCATACAACCCAAAATGTTGGGGCTTGCACTGTTCTTTTTCTCATTTTCCAGCTCAGGGGAGAGGAGTCTTTTCCCCAGATGGGAATATCTGGGGAAGGTGGGGAAGAAAAATCAAATGCAATAATTTGGAATCTCTTTCTGCCTCACCTGCCTGATGAGTTCTGGGAAGTCGTACACGTAGGTGGTGCCCAAGGACTGCGCCTGGAACCGCTTGGCCTGGAGCAGGTCCTTGGTGACGTAGGGCGTGTTGATGAGCATCCCGTGCTGCGGCCCTTGCTTGTCCCCGTACGACTGAAACATGATCTGGAGAGAAGGGCAGAGCACTGGCTGCCTTCCCTCACACGCAGGCAAGTCCTCTCTGCAATGCCAAGGTGCCAGAGCCCCCCGGGTCTGCAGCACTGCTCAGCTTTGCCTGCCCAAGAAGCTCGCACCCATGGCTCTGCTCGACCAAACAAAATGATTTTCCACCCCACACTTTGCTATCGAGGGGATAGAGCGCAACACTGCTCTGCTGCAAGAACCAGTAACACCCTACCACTGACCTTCACCTCCCAGAACAAAAACTGCCTGACTGCAGACCAGCAACACCCCCGGGGCTCAGCACCATTTTGCAGCAAAGTTTCACCCCCAGGTGCCCAACAGCACCGAGGGAGTGAAACCAGTCTGGCCCTGGGAATGCTGCACAGTCCCAGGGGCTCCGGGACAGACCAGCACTGCAGGTGCACGAGGATTTTTGCAGAAAACACCCCAAAGCTTTGCCGTAGCCGACAGCAGCTCTAAAAGTCATGGTTGGGTTCCCACTTGCAGCCGCCACCCGCGGTTACTCACGCTGCCGGTGCTGGCGTCCTTCACCTCCTTGTAGAGGCTGATGTCCAGGTAGTAGCCGGACTCGTTGGTGAGGAAGAGGCGGATGGGGATGGCAGTGGCGGGGGGGGGCGGGGGGGAGTTGGTGTTTCCCTC